ACTTGAAAGCTATAGAGAAATGCTGTTGAGATTTATCCAGACATCTTGCTTCGAGTTCATTGTCTTGTGCTTATTTCGCACGTCCTCCTCTACCTTCCTTTCCTTTGGAAGACTGTCTGAGCTTGAGATACTTCACATACACATCCAAACTCCACTAAACATTTCACCAAACACTTGGTGCGCATTCGATACTTCATCCTTCTCCTCCATTCCGCTGCTTCGTTCTGATCTGTGGAGAGCTCTACTGTGAAGAGTAGAGTTGCTTCCATCACTTGGAAAATGATTGCCCGGGGTTATCTATCCATTGCTTCATGTAAGAGTTCTTGGCTTGAAGAGTATTTAACTCTTCATTGTTTTTCATCTTCAATGTTTCCAACTCTCTAATGAGTTCTCTTAGGCCATGTGGTCCAATTGTTCTTCAACTTCTTCTACCTCCACTCTATTATTCATCATGATTCTCTTGGTCACGATTAATATTCTTCAATATATGCTTGTCATAATATCATGGCCCCGAAGGAATAACACAAACGTTTTTTCCCATATCCACTCCAGTTTTGTATAGAGCTCCTCCATCAAAGGTGATGCATTGAGGATTATGGGAATGCTCGCATTGCTACCTGTACTATGCATTTTCAACTTCAAATGTTTGAAGGGGAATGCTGTTTACCATGACATATCTGCTCATTTTGTGCATAAAACAAGTTGATATTTTCAAGTAATTTATCATTTTCTGCATAAAACAAGATATTTTAATGTATTTGGTGACAGAGGTGATTAAGTTATCCGAGGTTTGTTTTCAAAGATATTTCACGTCTCACATCGTTGAAAGATTAGTGAGAAGTGTGGAACTTGTTCTACAAAACAAAAGTATGACTATCTGGACGGATCAATGGGTGATCAAGAAGTCCATGGACTATGACACTGACTTCCATTGGACTTGAAATGGGGTTGCTTTGACCAAGTGACAGAGCTTAGGTCATAATTTGTGGTGGAGGAGATTTGTGTTTGTGCGGTCCCTATATTCAGTCTTAAGTTTTGTTTAGTTCGGGTTATTCAGCACCACTGTTTCCTGCTACTGGCTTTTCAGCGCCCTACTACTGGCTCTTGTACCCATGTTGCTTTCTGGTTGCTGTATGCTGGTACTTTCTTATTGGGATTGCGTAATTGCAATTTCATATCTTGATTTGAATCATTTTATTTTAGTTAGGTATAAATTTAACACTGTTCACCTTTACATTATAAAGTAATTTATTGTAGTATTTGACATTGTAAATGTTTTTAGTTTAGTTAGACTGTATAACTTTGGACGTAAATTTGTTCAATTATCGAAATCCAAAAACTTAATAAACCTTACAAATCATATTGGCCGAGGGTGTGGAATAAAGTTGATGCCAAGACAATATTTTAGGCAGAACATTCAACTACTGTTTTGAATGTCTTGGAAGGGAAATGTTAAACCCGTAAAGAAAGTATACAAACTGGTATTAGAAAAAAAATAAAAAATATAAAGGATTAAAAGTAATAAATTTAAAAGAACTAATGTTTTCAATAGTGGTTACTTCTTATAACTGATTTACTTTTAATGCTCAAATACAGAATCAACAAATCACTATACTTTCGATTGCAAATAAAGGAAAAATAAATTTTATTTTTGAATTGATTTTTTATTTGAGAGTTTAATGCTCACCATAATGTACAACAACTACACAGATATATCAATTTACCAGAAGTATATAATTTTCTTTCCACACAATATTCTTCAACATATAGTATTGTTACCTTTTGTTTGCAAGTCCGTAATGATCCTGTCTATTTCGGAGTTAAGAACCGGAATGTATGTATCTTTCTTTGGTTCACGGAAAATAAATACAATTTATGGGACATGCTCACAATTTTCAGGTTCAAGGAAAATGCCTGTTTCTTTTGGTACAATGACAGCCAAGGAGATTGATCAATTAAATGCTACAACCAATGGAAACTCCTCATCGACAATCTCATCCAAGTGGCATAACAAATGTCTTTGCGTCCATTAAAATTCCCCTTAATTTGAAGTTAAAAATGCTTAGTAGAGAGAGCAGTGTGAGTATTAATTCTCAAAGCATCACCTGAGAGGAGGAGCTCTATAAAAAGCTGGTATGGATGTGGGGAGAAACATTTGTCTTATTCCTTCAGCCTTGATGATTGGAAATATTATGCCAAACGCACACTGAAAGATATTAATTGGTTAAGAGTTAAAGAACCGATATATCACTCTCAACATACACTACTAAGATAATGATTATGGACAGTGCAGAGAAAACCCAAATCTGTAAATATGGAATAAAATAACGTTGAAACAACAATTATGCACTTTTTTGTGGACTGTGTTGTTGAATGGTCAAATATGTTATGGTGAAACGTTGAAACAACTGTTTTCTAATTCAAACTTGTCCAATTTAAGGAAAACATGTTATGGTGAAACTTGTCAATAAACAACAATATCACTGTAAGGCGCCAAAAGCCAAATTTCATGACTATAAATTAAATGGAAGGGAGATGGGTGGAAGGAAGAACTCACCAAAACAATTCGAGCTCCAACCCACATGCGTTCAAATGAAGGGAATGGTAAGAGCAGACGGCCAACCCCATAGAATGCGACAGCAAAAAAGTGAAGAACTAAACTCAACGGGTAAGGGTTTAGGCCAGAGAGTAGTGCGATGGGTCCACCAGAAAATATTTTTCCAAGGCTCACGTAGTCAAAACATGCTTGGCGCAGTTCTTTTCTGGCATCATCTGGTGAAACTGAAAAGACCTTGTACAGAGCACCTGCCAAAGTATTTATGGTGGATGCCATAGGCTACAAACAGCATGCCAAGTCATGAGGTAAAGTCTCTTTCAACATTAAAAATTCTATATTTACGTAAAAATATTTATGGTGCATTTAAGGTTAGAACTGCAGTACAAACCATTCATGCGCATTTAGTCTTCATCTTCCAGAATAAGCCCGTAAAATAGTTCATTCATTATGTGGTATCAAAGCCTCTATGACTAAGTAGTCTAAAGTTAAAACCCTTGTCACCCTATTGCTCTAAAAATCTTGAATTTCAGTTAAGGTAGGCGTGACCTGCAAATCTCGGAAGGTTCTAGTGTGAAAGGGGGTCTTCAAAATATGCAAGTATCAGGTTGAGCTTCTGGATAATGGGTTTGTGATGTTTGGTTACCACAAACATGTTCCACACAAGATATATTATTAAACAGAGATCATTAGGCACATAAGGAACATTCTATATACCTCAAATTAACCAAGATATATAACCAGTTTGCCTTTAATAATATATAAGCCAACATCTAAAAGTTACACACCTTGCGCAAGATGTAAAAGGATTCGAGATATCTGCATAGTGAGGATGCATCATTCAAGTCACCAACTGGCTTGATAAGATCCCGCAGCAAAACTATATCAGACAGTGCCACTGTCATTCCTCCACCAGTCAAAGGATGACGCATGTTGAAAGCATCACCAATTAACAGAGCTCCCGGAGTATGATATGGTTCAGCTGGCATGCTACTATTAGGCATGATTCTAATATTTCCTCTATCGATTGCAGATAGGAAAGCATCCTTAAGCTCAAGCGGAATCTGTAAATTACACCAGATACAAAGGAAGAAGAAAGTAGGAATCAACGTTTTGCTTCTTAGAAACAAGTAAAATCGGCTACTTGTATATTACAAATAATGATTGATAAATCGTAGCTGAACTACACACATGTCAAGAACATGCAGGATCATAATAGATACCTGGGAAGCAACTGTAGCCTTCAGGTAATTGGCTATTCCACTCCGAACAAGAGGGACTTTTGGACCTGGTATATCAACTAAGCAGCGCACCTCAGTGCTGCTGATACGATAAAATAAGATAGGGGAAGGATCAGCTAGAATAACATGCCCATAATTTTCGAATGGGAGTTGACAATTCTCCAGAACTAAACCCACGAAAGAGGAGGGTACTTCAACCTGGCAAGTGGCTAAGAACATATTAGGGGACTCAAGCAAACTGGTGCAAAACTGATAAATCAAATCGTCCAGATTTCATAACATCTCCAAACTGTGCCTGAATTGATCATAAGCGCAATATTTGGTGTCATTAAAAGGAAAGCATTGTCACTCAACTATTTAGAAGACATTTCAACCTTGGGGTGGCAAAGAGACCGACGCAGATTTGAGAAACAGCCATCACAAATAACTGTGAGGGGAGCATATGCTTTAAGTTGTTGACCATCTTTAGTTCTGTACTGGACCCCTACAACATTTTTGTTATCCTGTTCAAGAAGAGATGTCACAGTGCCCTGCTCCATTCGTACACTGAATAGTAAACAAAGCAGACGATATTATCAGGCAAAAAAGAACACTGCAAACAATAGTTTCCATGAAAAATTAGTAATTTTAAGGCTTATTTTCTGGCCCTGTAAATAATTTTTAAAATTAAATTAACAATCACAATATATTAAGGACTACAATTGCAGAGCAGCGGCTTTTTCTCTCATCATCTGTACAAAACGTCCATTATGGAAGCTCCTGCCAGCCACTTCAGCATCAAACTTCTCCAATGGATAAGGCAGCTTAGTTTTTTTCCCATCCATGAAAAGAACATAGCCTAGCACCCTTTGTGCATCAATTTGGTCCACACAGTCTGACAAAGGATATATACAGCACATGTAAATATGAGAATGCTATCTCAACAAGCTTAATTCCACCACAATTAAGCATAAGCTAATTTCAGTGCATAATACATAAAAAATTAAGAAACATAATATTGATTAACAGAAATGATTTTATATTCTTTTCCCTGCTTAAGTAACATCATGAGATTGCACAGGGTTTTTGAGTCGAACTTTAAGACTACAATTAGTAAATGTTATGCAGTAAATGCCAACATGTTCTAAAACCAGGAGTACAGAGGATGAACATACGGAGGGTGCGTAGAGGAAAACAATACAAGTTTAGGATTAAATTAGGAACGAATGAATCCAGGAGAAAATTGAAGTAGCACTTATTCGGGAGATGACAAAAAGATGCTTAAGATGGCTGTGGAGAATCTGAAGTAGAAAACGACTAACAATGAGAGAAACCATAAAGTAAAGCCTTAACATAAATGGTTTTACCATTTAGTTTCAGACAAAGTCTAATGAGATTGATCCATGCAGACGAATTACCTAATTTCATAAGGGGCTTGTTGATTTGTTTTGCTATTATCGGGGAATGGGAAAGCAAAACCACTTGAAGGGATAACACTCTATTTATGACATAGGTTACCACATTTACAAGCACAAAGAGGCGGTGAAAAGATTAATTAATATAATAAAAAAAAGCAAAATTAGACCGGTTTAACAGGTTGTAAAAGAATATGAATAAAATGAATATTTAGCACATAGCAAAAAGTGAAAGGCGCATAACAGTCTTCCAACATGGTAATAGTTATAAGTTTCATTTCAATGTAATATGAGTGGCAATCGGGTATTTGCGCATGTATAAAATATATGTTTAGAAAACGGACCATATCCAACCTCAGTCCTGGAATAATCTTGTCTACTAGCCAATTTGATACATACCTTCTAACCCTAACTCAATTAGCTTTAGATATCCTCCTGGTTGGAGAAGTTCACCAACGATTCTGTCTGGCTCTCTCAAGTCTCTCTCAATAACATGGACACGCCGTCCATCCTTCAAAAAATTTAATGCATATACTTTTACTGAAGATCTTGGTAGTAAGCAATCAAAGCATTCCTTTCCCTTATGGTATTAATATAATTTCCCAGAGTCAAAGGAAGGGAGAGAGATTATGACAATTGATTGAACAGTTTTGAAAATCGAAATACATAAAATGGTAAAAAATTTAGCACAAAGTACAGTGAGAAACGAATTTATTTTGGATCCTAAAACATGAAAATCACCACCGATGTAGATATATAGCACTATCTTCTGTAAGGTTAACAACAGAATTCCAATGAGATCCTTTATCCCGGATTATTGTGGTCCGACTAGAGAACATGATATAGGAAGAGTAGAAGACCAAGAAAAAGAAGACTCATAAAATCTAGTTAACACTTGAAAAATTGGAATACTAGTTATTTTCAGAACTCCAAGCATGGTAACCTCTACCATTAAATCCAAAAAAGAAACTTTTTCCATTATTGTCTCGTCACACCATCATGCACACTTCCAACCTATCTATATGTGTAACACATTAATGATAAAGCTCTTAGAAATTTTAAACAAGTCCATAAACTTTCAAAGTTCGTGATTAAATTTCTAAATTTGTAATCCTTTTAATTAGAATTTTACTTGTATTCCACAAATAAATGCATTTCACTGCAAAATTCCACTATTTAGCAAATCACTAGGCAATATCGTTTATTCATTAAGATAAAAAAATTTAGATAAATAATGATAAAAAGTAAAAACTGAAATAAATTTAATTTAATTAGTCTAATCTTTGTCTATCAACTTCTCCAAAAACAATTTTTAACCTATGCATAAAGCTAAATTTATGATCATGAAAGAACTTTACTGCAAAATCATAACATACGTAAATAATACGCTTTCGGACACATTATTGTATCCGTTACAATTTACTGAAAATATATATATACACGAATCGTTATTTCAGTTTTTTTTCTATATTTTAATTTCAAGTAAATTATAACAAATAAAAGAGTGTTAAAAAACATGTTTCAAACCGGTTAAACTTCTATGCATATTATGATTCCAAAAAGGATGACGGTCCAATTATAATAATTTATAAACTCATGTTTTCGATTATAAACTTTCAAACATAAATAATACAACTATTTGGAAATCTCTACTGAAGATTCTTTAATTCAAGATCTCCGAATGAATAATTTAACCAAAAACACACAAGTGACATGGCGCGAGATGGAAATAGGAAGCGGCACCTTGGCGAGGGTGTAGGCGAGAGCGGAACCGGCGACGCCAGCACCAACGACGATGACATCGGCGGCGCCGAGGAAACCGAGAGGTGGATCTGGCGCGGCTTCTGCGGACAGCGCTGTTGTGCGGAGAAGCGGCGGTGCGATCGAGATCGTAGGGAAGATGAGAGGAATGTGATGAAGAAGTTGTTGTTAACTGAATTTGAAGAAGGCAGATTGAGACATTGTTGTGGAGTGGAGAGGGTGGACAACTGAAAACATTTTGGAAGAAGTAAAAGAAGATGATCTGTTAAGCGTTCTATAGGAACGATGATTGACATTCACAGTGAAGAACGTCCTTTGCAATTTGGTATAACCTATACCTATTTTTAAGGTTTTAATACGTATTTGGTCCCTCTTTTCGTAGGCCTCTGTTCAAATTGGCCTACTTTTTTCAAAAGTTCACTAAGATCCCACTTTTTTTCCGCAAAACGATGCACGTTAGTCCTTTTTTTGTTTAATACGTATTTTGGTCCCCTCTTTTCGTATGGTCTGTTCAAATTGGTCCTAACTTTTTTTCAAAAGTTTCCTCCTATTTTGATCCCTATTTTGATCCCTCTTCGTAAAACTTTTCGTATTTTGGTGATTTGTACATTGATCCCTCAAAAGTTCACCTCAACGAAATGTACAGCTCACCAAAACTACAAAATGTTCACTAAGAGGGATCAAAATAGGGATCAAAATAGGGAACTTTTGAAAAAAAGTAGAACCAATTTGAACAGACCCTACGAAAAGAGGGACCAAAATACGTATTAAACCTAAAAAAGGACTACGTGCATCGTTGTTGCGAAAATGGGATTCTTAGTGACTTTTGAAAAAATTAGACCAATTTGAACAGACCTACGAAAAGAGGACTCAAAATACGTATTAAACCTGTTTTAACTATATTTAATCTTATTTTTTTTATTTCACAATTTTATCTTTCAGTAAAATGGCATATAACTTTTCTTTAACTACCTTTTGTTCTGAAAAATAATTGTTTTATCTTTTTCACCGAATATAATTGACTAATTTCCTCACTTAAAATATCATAAACGTAATAAAATATCATAAACATAAATATTTTAATTTTTAAATCATTCTTTTAGGATTGTGTTTTGTTTACAATTGCATTATTTAAAATTAAAAATATACGGATGCATGAACGTGAGAGCTTGTTTCCACTAGTTTT